ATACCGCCCCCCCCCCCCCCATTTTCCTCATTCACCGTGTATGAATCTCCAAGAAGAGAGAATCGAGTCAATTTGGCCCGGCTTGGGATTTTTAGGGGTAGTCGTCAGAAAAATTTCCTGACACGACACAACTCTCGCCAAAAAAAACCAATTTTCAGATATGTGCGCCCTTTAAGGCACTTAAAAAACATCTCAGCCATTTTTCATCATTTTCTCTTCAAAATTATTTTTAATTTGGACACATCATATCTCATTTGAAGCAAACTTAACCTCATTCAAAAACAAGAAACACATCAACGCTCGTTGATGACGGCGCAGAAGTACAACTATTCGTGCTTGATGGATGTGCGTATTGCAGCTGCAAAATTGAAGGCGCGATGACGCGAGGCGTGAACTCACGATCCACGGTCTATGCTGCGGCTTCCAATGAGGTGTCGCTATAAATAACGTTAAAAAATGAGGCCCGCGATTACGTCTCTCCTATCTTCTGATGTGTTGCTCACGTAGCCCTAGACGAACGGAACCAACACACCATGGCAATAGAGCAAGTGGAAGGACGCGCGTTGATGACGGCGCAGAGATACAACTATTCGTACTTGATGGATGTCCACGTTGCGTCCGTATAATTGAAGGCGCTACGGCGCGAAGCATGAGCCCGCTATGCTCCGCTCCATGCTGCCAATGAGGTGTCCCTTAGATATTTGGGAGAAACGTTAAAATTCGAGGCCCGGCTATGTCTCTTCTACCTTTGGTTGTGTTAGGGGTTTTAATAAAAAATTGTTGCTCTATATTTTGGAAAATCTTTGAGTTGAGAATTTATTTTTTTGAATCCTCTATCTCTAGTTCCAACTTCTGACTTAAGGTTTACATCTTCTTTCCTTCTCTCTCTCTTTCTCCTGAAGAGACATTTAGTTTCAGGACCTTTGTTGCTTTGGAGCAAAATTAATTTCTTCGGTAAAATTCACGTATAAAACGCTTGTTAATTCTACACATCTACCTATGAATTTAATGTTTTATCCCTTTTTACCGTAAAAATAACTATTGAGTAAGAGAAATCGGTGCGTTTTGTTAATTTCCTATGACTGGTGTAACTTTAAAAAAAAAAAAAAAAAAAAAAAAAAAAAAAAAAAAACCCTTCGATAAACTTAAGTAAATATTTCTAAAAAGAAAACTTACCTGGAGCAGTGGTGCCATCCTTTTAATACTAATTCTCGACTCAGACCGTGCATGTTTAGATCATTCACGTATAAATCCATGCTCTGCATTTCGTCTAAATTATTGATTCTGAAATAAGTCCAAACATACATTACTTAAACCCCAAAGTTAACTAAATCTGTTATAGATTTACTACTAGCGAGAGGTTTGAACAATAATGTTTTGGGTTTAAAAATCATTGATTTGAAATGATAATTCTGATCTAAGTAAAGTTCCCTCTTGCACTATTTTGCTTTTAGTATTTTATTTACTTGACAAAATATTAACCCTGACTTTATTTGAAAAACTTCAATTTGCGCTTTAATTATTAAAATAAATTATAAACCTATTCAAAAATGTTCATCGTTAATTTATATCTGCATTTTAATGAAAGGAATAGGTATAATTAAATCGACCAGAGAAAAATGTGCATCAATTTCTGAACACTCTCTGAAACCATTTTCCTCCCAAATATTTGTAAAATGAAGACAATCTCTAGACGCTCTATCTGGGTGAGTTTTGTGTTTTTGCATTTATTGCTGTGGCACGAAAAACATGCTAAAAAGGGGGGCAAACGTAGATAACAGTTTAAAAAAAATAAACTCTAAACTCGAAGTTGAAGATATGGAATTCAGATATTATAACTATTTGTAAATTATAAATGAATATGTAAGAACGAACTATAAATACAAATAAAGATGTTTTTTTTTAAAAAAAAACTCGAAGGATTGTTTTAGCCCAAAATTCGCGCGCAATAGTTTAGTGGCATTAGTTTACCGTCAGGTGCCGTCACTTTAATAGAGTCAGCATATACCGTAAGCCTTATGTGCTGAGCAATTGGTTATAATATAGAAGGTTCACAAGGTGCCTGACGCTTAGAAATCTGAGGATAAACATTAAACAGTCATGATAGGGACTTTCTTACACTGGACTGCAGAGGAATATGATGACGTTGATTTCTTGGAGGTATCTGAGTTGCCCTTTGAGAAGAATACTGCGGGAGCCATGACTACCTTTCCGATCCAGCAAGTCTGGCAACGATACAGCCCCTTCCAGTTTTTGAGAGCTCTTGCTTTGGGCCTTGTTCTTAGACTTAGATGTCATGTAGGATGGTAGGCGAATGACCTCTAGCTCGAACGTAACGTCTATCAAGTACAACATCTAGAGCATACATTTCAACCTTGAGCAAATTAAGTTGTTGATGTAACATGCAGGAATAGCGCCGTTGATTTCTTTGCTGGAATGCTTAAAAGAAAGATTTTTGTCACTCTGGTATTCATCTGACTTATAATGGGAGGAACTCGGGAATAAACAGTACAGTCAGGTTAGCCAGTTCGGTCGCAATAGCAAGACATCTGCTAGCAGGAGACCGAAACGCTTGAATTAGTCCTGCAATTGTCTGATTACCTCAATCTTTATTCCAGAGCTAGTGGTAGAAATAAATGAAACGGTACTAAGAATTTCTTATGAGGTAAATTTAAAAAAATTGTGGCTGATTCCTCTACTTGGAATTCAGCTGTGCAGTCTGAGGGTTAGATTGTGGAGCTTTTAGAATTTTTTTCCGTGAGCGACTTGTCGTTTATAAAGCACATATTTGACCTAGCTATTACTTGAATTTACTCATTTTTGCGGAAGAACGCTCATTTAAGACCATTCTTGGACGTGCTGGTTTGGTATTGGAATCTGAATTAGTCTGAAATAGGTATCAGTGACATTTTTTGTGTCAGAGAGTTAGCTGCCCTGATGGGTTCTAAGAGCTCATTATTTCGACATGTCTGTACTCTCCCCATACATATATACATATAGACCGCTTTCATAGCGCTATTTGGTGCTCTGCGACACCCAGCCGCCAAAGTACCCTATCCTCCCAAAGCCCTCAAGGGAGTTGGCACTCCCCCATTTCCACTAAACCCCCGGTCGCCACCCTTTCATTGGGCGTCCCGTTAGTCTCCTCCAGGAGGAATCCAATCAAGTATCTTCTTTGGCAGCCTCTCTTCTGTCATCCTGTTAACTTGACTATACAACGAGTAAAAAGATTGGTAAAATTTACCATTCCTTTACGCTGTATTCTACACAGCGTGAATTCAAAGTCGATTCTGCCACAGGAATGGTTACCTGTACCAGTATATACATAGGGTGCTCAAAAAGTAATGCACGTTTTCGTTTTTTGAGCAAACGGAAACAGCGTCTATTAACTTGCGGTTTGCGTGCACTTAAAGTAGACGTAATTACCAATAGAACAAGACCAAGAACAGCTCTCTAGCTTCAAAATTGACTGAATGATAGGGTTTTTAAAATGATATGTCGAGGGACACCCTCCAGGATGTTTTTCTTGACAAACATATGTGTACACGGAAAAAACGAGCTTAGGGTTGGGACCTACATGTTAGTGCTGGGCACTAACGAGGGTTAGATCAAATGGAGCCAGCAAGTCAGAGGAGTGCTGGGCACTAAACAGCTCGAGGCTGGGTCACTAAGGAAGAAGTAGTGTCAAGCCCTAAAGTGACAGCGCGTTACCACCAGGCTATCGTAACTCCGACATTTCATGGGTGAATTTACACCTGTTAAGCGCAACTACGTCTCGCGGCATCTGATTAGCACTACTCATGTTCAGTGCCCACCTGTACTACCTTCCGGTGTTGAACTGTACAGCGCTTAGACGCCAGCCCTCAACTACTCCCCACTAAACGGCCAGTAGTGCTCAACACTAGTCTTGTTTTTTCCGTGTAGCTAAAAATCCTGGAGGGTGTCCCTCGACATATCATTTTAAAAACCCTATCATTCAGTCAATTTTGAAGCTAGAGAGCTGTTCTTGGTCTTGTTTTATTGGTAATTACGTCTACTTTAAGTGCACGCAAACCGCAAGTTAATAGACGCTGTTTCCGTTCGCTCAAAAAACGAAAACGTGCATTACTTTTTGAGCACCCAATGTAGTAACGTTTACCTTTTTTCTGGCAGAATTGACTCGGAATTGACGCTGTGTGAAGTACAGCGTGAAGGAATGGTAAATTCTACCAATCTTTTTTCTCGGTGAACCAGACAATGACGTCAAATGCGATGTCATTTCGACTCCCATGATCTAGACTCATATACTGCCGTGCTGAGGAAGAACGCCGTATGAACATTCGAGAGTTGCCGAATTTCCCTTTATAAAACGTGTATTTTTTACCACATTCATGCATATTTTTCTTTGAAATTTTCAGATGTTTTAGATTAAATTGCGTACAAAATTGTCTGAAAATCTTGGAAAGTAATATTCGCAATTTTCCCAGTAAATTTGGTATCTATCGAAGGAAATTTGGCAACGCCTGAAGGTTCATAATACGGCGTTCTTCCTTAGCACGGCAGTATAGGTACCCCCAAATATGTGACACTGGGTGTAAACTCACATTCGGCCAGGTGAAGGGGATGCCGCGGGGGCGTCGGAGCCTGAAGTTGTCGACGACGGGGCGGCCGACGAGGGACTCTTCGGCGGCGGCGTCGGGTCCTGCGGAGGCGGCCCAGACCTCGAGGAGCTTCTCGCCGAGCTGGACGATGCGCATTCGCTCGTCGAAGGCGACCCCGAACGGGAAGAGGCGCAACAAGAGGGAGCAGGAGACCGGCGGGAGGTCCGAGATCCGGGACTTGTGCGTCATGCTCAGCTGCCGCGCCACGTACTCCTGGTTGTCGAAGTTGAGCCGGAACTTGACCAGGAAGTTCTTGAGCCCCCCGCAGGAGCGCTTCTTCTTCACCTCCATCTCCTCCGAGAGCACCTTGATCCCCAGCTTGATCCGGTACAGGCTCCCTGCGATCTCCTGCAGCTGACCTGCCCATCACAAGTTCCACAGATTCATTATAATTAGGTTACATTTTGCAAAAAGGAACCACTATTTCTGGCCAATGTTAGAGACAGCATACATGTCGTTGGTTTCCCTATGCAGATATGTGCTTTAATGGGAGAGCCAGGGATAGTGGTTCCTTATTGCAAAATGTAATCCAATTATCATCATCATGTCGATGCCCATAGTGCGAAACACTGTTGAGAAATGGCATTTGGACGTATTTCTATCAAACGGACCTAAGCGCCATGGGTGAGGAAGGTAGAGGGGGGCTTGGATTGGCGGCGGAATTGGGCGTCCGGCTTATTCCGTCCTATACTCGCGATGCTTTTCCATGGCGCTTAGGTCCGTTTGACAGAACGCGCTATCCGGGATTCTGAATTCCTCAAAAGGAACTTAAATTGGCGCTTAGTAACGTTTGATAGAAATACGTCCAATTGAGACGTTAGATGCAGAAAGGGCATTCGAATCAGTGAGAACGAAAACACACCAACTCGGTAACGCGAAAATGCTCAGTTTCAATTAAAGACAGGCAATTTACGTAAAGGTCATTGAAGTTAGCGCATCTGTTCCAACTTGGACCTTTAAAGTGTTCATAAGTATTTGTCTTCCGGCAGCAAAAATCTTTTTCCTACACTAACTTCTTCATCCGCTGTGCAGTTTGGTGTGTGTCTTCATTATTTTTATTTTTCCGAGTTGATGTGTTTTCGTTCCCACTGATTCATTTCTTAGTTGGTGTTTTGGAATCTCTAACGCTAATTGGAGGTATTTATGCTTAAAGGAACTTTGTGCATAGGTTTTAGGTGCGACATAGTTCCTTTTAGCATAAATACGTCCAATTTATATTTTAGAGAGGAAACTATGGGATGAATTTTTATAAGTTTGTCGTTTTCAGCATTGTAAGATCATACAGAATATTCAGTAAAATGTTTAACGAACTCTACACATTTGCTTTAAAATACAAAATATCCCAGGAGCAAAATTATCAATTTTTGTATTAAGTGAGGTACGAGATGAAAACATATTATCTTATATCAATAATTTCGCTAGAAGACACGAATAGTTGCGTACAGAAGTCTTGCCACTTTCGCACAGTTCCGGCAAGGAACACACAGTGATTTACTCTCCCTGTTGCGTGTTTCCCAATCTGTCAAGTTCCCCTTCAATAATTGTGATGGCAATACGAGCGGCTTAGGAGCGCGAAGAATATTGCGCGCAATATTTTTGTCACTTTAACTTAATCCGGCGAAGAAAGCAGTGAAAACACCCTATCAATTTCTCTCTCTCTCAACTGGCCCTGGGAATGTTCTTATCTTACTTCAATTCCAAAAAGTGTGCAGTAGTACGAGAGGAGATGATATCAGGCAACATCTGCACTGAAAAAAAATTCTTGGCGTTCTTACCAAGGTCCGTTGGTAACTTTACCATCTCACTTTTTTTACCAATTATTGGTAATTTTACCAAGACAGACTGGTAAGCTTACCTATAAACCGGTATTTTTACTTTTTTTTCAGGTAAGGATACCACTTTTATTGGTAATCAATTACCGGTAACTTTGCCATTTTATCTCGGTAATTCTACCACAGTCGATAAAAAATATTGGCGTTTTTACCGGGGTCCAGTAAAATTACCGAGAAAGTTCAATAATTTTACCGAGATTTCTCGGTAAAATTACCGATTCCATAAATGGTAATTTTACCAAGAAGAAACTGGCATCAAATATAACCCTGAATTCTTGGTCATTTTACCCTTTTCTTAGTAAATACACCGAGATTTTTTTTTTCAGTGTGATGTAGTTAAGCTGATTCTGGTTAGCATGTCTGCGTAGAGTGAGTGGAAAGGGGAGGTAAGTTAGGAGAGGACTCACCCATGAAGTACTGGGTGAATCCCTGTCGTGAGCTGCGGTAGACAAGGACGACTCCGTTGTTGTCGAAGTTGGTCACGTACATGGACGGGCTCTTCATTTTCGGGTACGCGAACCTCATCTGCAGATGCAAATTGTCCACATTTTTCAGGAAGTCGATGAAATGCCGGCCCGTGGCTTTGATGACATCCTGATAACTGGAACCAATACAAATCATGATTAGCCTTCCCAATGTCGTCTCCGTCTCGACATTCTAGTCTCCGGATTGACCCGAATCGAGACGAGCGAGAATCCCCTAAGTCGAACGAGAAACCCGCATGCAGGTAAGTTATTTTTGCTCGGTACCTGATACGGCTCCCAAGAGCCCGGAACGTTCCTTCTCTTCAATCGTACTCCATCATGCATTTCAATGGAACATTTTCTTGTTAGAAGGAATCGTGTGCAGTTGCATTAAATCTAAAGGAGCTCTGTACTTAGAATCTACTTGCTCTGTATAGTTCATCTTGCTTTAATTCATTCGTATGTAGTTCTTTTAAGCATAAATGCGTCCAAATGGGCCAGTGACTGACCGAGGTTTTTCTGCGAAACTTTCCCGCTGAAAGGAAGGGTATTATGCCGTGTGAAAAATAGAATCAACCTATACTACTTTGTTACCGAAGAGGGTAGAATAGAACAATTTTTTTTAAATTAAGTTTTGTTCAAAATTCTGCCAGTCTAATTTAAATGAACTGGACAGAGCGGAACTGGAGCAGTAAGTTAAGAATGATGACACGCAGTCCTACAGTCTTGTAGGCGCTAATATGCGTTTTACGTCACCTGACCGCCTGCACTGCGGCGCAATGCGAGAAGTATTCAAGCAGTCTTGTAGGCGCTGATATGGGCTTGACACCGATCGCGCTGTTTTGCGCAATGCGTGAAGTATTTCTAAAGTCTTGCAGGCGCTTATATACGTTAAACGACGGCCGCACTGTGTTTGAAGCGATTATTCGAACTCGCGCTGGAATAATCACAGCATCGAATAATGAAGCTTGAAAGGCCCATGCTATGTTTCGACGCCGTATGATCATTCCAACGTTGCCTCGTTTCTCCTGATTAAATATTTTTTCCGACAAAAATTAGGAGAGTTCTTTATACCCACGACCATTTTTCAATCTTTTTTCTTCATTTATTATCAGAAGGTAGAACATGATGACTTGTCAACAAACTAACCTAAACTAGCGTTAACATAGTCACTTATCGGCATTCGATGATTTTTCTTCGTTTTCACATTTTTTTCTTTAGAGTTAAAAGATTATACGAAAATTTCGCTTCGAGCTTTATCAGTGTTTTACCTAAAAAGAATATTGAATGATACGTATGAAATGTTTTCTCTTCTTTTGATCAACACTCATGTAAAAGAGTCTTGTTCCAGGAATTTGTCATAAGATTTTTTATAGGAAAATTTCCCGCTTGTTAAATACATAACTTCGTTTCAGGACTGACAGATCCTGACAGAAAATTATAAAAAAAGATAACTCTGGAGTGTTTTATTTTTCTACACGGGGAACATAGACATCGCGTTCCCTCTCTTTGGCAAAAAAAACTATATGCTATTGAAACTATCGAACTTCGATAAAACGATTAGACAGAATGGTTCAGGACTGCTCTTTCAAAATATCCAATGGAATATTAGCCGAGTCAGATTAAGTTCCTCGCCAGACTCATCCCGACCGGCCGTCGTCATCCCCAACGTTGCAAGATCGTTGGATAAAATATCCATACTTCATGTTGAATTTTGCAGGGAAAAGTGCTTCCTTTCAGCATAATCTGGCAACAATGCACCGGACCGTTGTCAGACTGCTTAGTGAACTTTGCATAATTTGTAATATGAGTTTTCCAAAAATTTCCATTTTTTTGTCCCGGGTATTTCTGGTACTAACTCGTATATCTGCTCTCTGAAACCTATTGAAAAAAACCACCGAAGTTTTTTAATAATACGCAACGAAATAGTGAATTTTTCCGTCTAATTCATGCAAATTTTTATTTTATGTCTCAGTTCATTTTAGAGATCCACAGGGCCGATTCCTAAGATTCTTAAGACTGTTAACACTTTTTAATCCCTAAATGAGCCTACCCTTTTAAATATTTTAAAAAAGACTCTGAGAGCGGCCTTTTGAGGGTGCGAATCGTCCCTTCCCAGCTATTAATTAAAAATTGAAACTGATAAACTAAGAAGACAAAAAGAAAATGGAGCAATCCTTTCGGTAGAAGCGGGTGGGTTGCTTTGTCCCTTCCAATTACACTCTTCCACCAATAGGATCACTCCATTTTTCTTTTGTCTTCTTTGCGTCTATCGCTTTGTCCATCAACTTAAAAAATCAGCCCGAAAGAGATGGGCCACTTAGTAGCCAAGGGCACTTACCGCCTACCTCTAATTATTATAACATAGATACATTGACTAACGCGGGGAAAATTCTTCATTTCGTCACCTTCCAGGCAAAGTATCACAAGCGCCATGCGACGTTTAAAAATTTCCACCGCCATTTTATTATTTTATAGAGAAATTGTTCAACGAAGCTGTCCGAAAATTTCACTGAATTTTCTTTGTGCTGCCGATAAAATTTAGTGAAATTTCCAAACAGATTCAACCTACAATTTCTCAGTAAATAAATAAAATGGCGGCGGAAATTTTTAAACGTCACATGGCGCTTGTGATACTTTGCCTGGAAAGTGACGATTTTCAGCAGAATCTGGCAACCCTGCCCTACGCGCATCGCCTCACTTTTCCCCACTTATTTTTTGTAATCCGAGTCTGTTCCAATTCCGAGGCGGTCAAACAGACACGAGTTTTTCTTTAATGCTAAGCGTTTCCTTCGACGCCGCCCCAAACCTGAATGGAATCCTGCCAATGCTGCTTTCCGTTTGTCGGAGATATAATTGAAAATCGAGGGGGGTGAAAACGTCGCCCGCAATCCAGGGTGCTAATCAAGAAACGCGCAATGCCGACGGGAGCCTCGCGCGGATCCTCCGTTTTTGCCAGGCGCGGCGCGGGGCAGGGATGTCACCTTTCGTGAGGTCAGCGCTTCCTCCGAGTTGCCGGCCAACTTTCTCCATCTTTGTTTGGAGGATAACCGTCGGAATGATTTTTCGAAAAATTGACCCACATTAATGTTGAAAGCCGAGAGACGCGTGCCTCGATTGTAATGTGGTAAAACGGAAGAACATGACCACATTCAACGTTGCAACATTTTCACACGCAAATTGTATTTGTGCTTGGGTACTATCGTGCTTTCTCACTAAACTTTATACTGATATTCCCTGTGAGTATAGGCAAAATTCAGCCAATTTTTGAGTAGAAATTGCAAACTCATATCCTACTCCATATCCATACAATATACAATCATTAGAGTAACGCGTAACGCATAACGCTAAGCACCTCGGGGGGTTGGACTACGAAGCGGTCAGGGTGTGTAGCCCCCTAACCTTTGTAAAAACGAGTTTTTTTAAACATATTTTGCAGCCTTGGGATACATTTACAATCGTTTGCCTGGATAACAAAAAATTTTCGGTTTCTTTGATTTTTTTATTTTTTTTTGTCTCATTCCTCTCGTTTCAAGAGGAAAACATTGACATTACACTTTTACTCTTTAAAAAAAAATAGTTTGGAAAATAGGAAAATAATATTGGGCATATTTGAGTAGGCCCAAACAGAGACTAGCATCCATTCAAGACCGCGTCCCTCAATTTTTTTAAAACTTCCATGATTTTCTTCACTCACGGTAAAATACCCTGTATAAATTTCAAGCTACAAAATGGGCTTCCTCCTCCTCGAAAAATAAAATAAGAGCAAAAATTTTGAAACATTACAATGGAGGTAAGGCACGTAATTTTCCACGTTCGGCCATAGATTCTTGATGATGCTAAATGAAGGGAAAACAGTGTTACGAACTCCATTTTGGAGTTCAACTATCGTGCTGCTCGTCAATCAAGGTCATGCAAGGAACTGTCGATTGAGTTTCAATGATCTACCCGCAGACTGCAACAATTTATCGAGGTAGGGAGGCCATTAAGATTTACGAAGCACGTATTTCCGTAAAAGCGAAGTGTCTGACCAAAGTGCAAAATTTGCATAGTTTTTCAATCACCCACATGAGCGAACACATACACAAAACTTAGCGCACACGTCGAGACCGTTTTGACCCAACCATTAAAAAATATTGGTGCCACCATCTGGCACCGCGCTGTAAAAATGCGCACCAACTGATGGACAGTACCAGGAAAAGGAAGCCAGAATAGGACAATTGTGACCGATGTGCACATTTCTATGAAAAAAAGAGAATGACTTACGTCATTTCATGATATGCATATAACTTACGTCATTTTACAAAATAAAGTAACAATAAGGGCTACTTCGCAAAATATCTTAGAGTTGATATAAAGCTACACACAGTTTTTCTGAAAAGTTTCAAAGAATTCATCTGAATGGTCTTAAATAAAAGAATCGAAAATTTCGACGCGATGTTTTCGTTCGTTCTAATTTCTTTTAATGTAACCAAAAAGAGAAAGATTAATATCATCCGAGTTTCTGAATCGTTACAACAGGGATACAATTGCCCTTTAATTATGGTAAAAACTGGAGCAGTTTAAGAATGATGACACACAGTCCTACAGCATTCCAACAGTCTTATGGGTGCTATTATTTATGCGTTTCACGTCACCTGACCGACTGCACTACGTTCGGCGCAATGCGAGAAGTATTCAAGCAGTCTTGTAGGCGCTGATATGGGCCTGACGTCGATCGCGCTATTTTGCGCAATGCGTGAAGTATTCCTCCAGTCTTGCAGGCGCGTATATACGTTTAACACCGGCCGCACTGTGTTAGGAGCGATTATTCGAACTCGCGTTAGAGTAAGCGCGACATCAAATAATGAAGCTTGAAAGGCTCATGTTGTGTTTCGACGCCGTGTGACCATTCCAACGTTGCCTCGTTTCTCCCGATTAAATATTTTTCCGACAAAAATTAGGAGAGTTCTTTACACGACCATTATTCAATCTTTTCTATTCATTTATCATCAAAGGGTAAGACATTGATGACTTGTCAACAAACTAACCTAAACTAGCGTTAACATAAAAACGCGGTTATTTTCCAACTGTTTCCTGCTTTGCCAAACTTTTACCTTAAATTAACTTCATTTTAAATTCGCTTATTCCTGTTGCAGATGATAAGGTTTCTATTCAAGCAACCCTTGTGCCTTTTTCGTGCAGTCCTCACATATTTTCTCAGAATTTTCGCGCAATCCTGCATTACTGGAATCTTGGACGTGAGTCTGCCATATCGCGATTTTTGTTTTTTTCATCTTGGATTTGCTAAAAATACCTGATGTAGTCCTGATCGCCTCCTCTCCTCCTTGTATAACCCCCTTGTGTTAAGAAGACTCAGACCCTCTTGAACGGCTTCTTGATTCCCTATTGGCTGAACGCTATGAAACCCGACTCACCCAATGTTTGCTTGATGGCGGATGAAGCATCGGCCGAAGAAACGCATGAAGTAGTCGACGGAGGCGCCGTTGTCGAGGACTTTGGCGCAAGCCTCGGCCAAGTCCGGGATCAGGTGGTCCGGGTAGATGGAGCGGGTCCGGAACACCGTCGACTCCAAACCCAGACTCCGCATCATTTCAAGCCATACGTCCTCGCCGTACTCCAACTGGAACACCAAATCGATACTATTACACTTAGCCTAGAAGAAGAAGAAGTAGAAGAAGGAGAAGAATTAGCAGAAGTAGAAAAAGTAGAAGAAGTAGAAAAAGTGGAAGAAGTAGAAGAAGTAGAAAAAGTAGGAGACGTAGGAGAAGAAGAACGAGTAGGAAAGAGAAAGAGAAAAGGGAAAACTAATAAGGAAAGGAGAAAAAGGAAAGAAAGAGAGAAAGGGATATGAGGAAGAAAAGAAGGAAAAAGTGAAGAAGAAGGGAGGTGGCAGAAGAGGAGGTGGCAGAAGAGGAGGTGGCAGAAGAGGAGGTGGCAGAAGAGGAGGTGGCAGAAGAGGAGGTGGCAGAAGAGGAGGTGGCAGAAGAAGAGGTGGCAGAAGAGGAGGTGGCAGAAGAGAAGGTGACAGAAGAGGAGGAGGCAGAAGAAGAGGAGGCAGAAGAGGAGGAGGCAGAAGAAGGTAAGGGAGTGGAGAGGGGAGGAAGAAGAAGAGAAATTAAAAAACAGAAGAAGGAAAAGAGAAATTGACGTCATGGTTCACTCTGCACTCTCTTAAGCAAATTGAATGTTCAAAAAAAAAAACATGCATTTAAAATTATACAAAAACTGGACTTTCCCCAAAATTGATTTTGCTCACAAATTCAATGCGACGGAAGCAAAATTGATAAAGACTCTCTGCACACACACCTCGGACATTGAATGGACTACATTTTGCGATAAAGAGCTACCATTTCCTTCTCAATTTAGAAACAACATGTGTGTCATTGGTTTTCCAATGCAGATAGGTGCTTTTAGGAAAAGGCAAGAACTTGCAGTTCCTAATTGCAAAATGTAGTCTATTTGACCTTGCTAATACTGTGCTACTCCTTTTTGGACATATTATGTTTCAACAACAACCAATGCAGACGGACCGATGCGAAAAAATCCGTACCACGGGGTGACAGGAGACACCCTCACCTCGTCTCCCCGACTTACGTCAGACTCCCGCTGACGTGAGGGATTCGTTTCCCCCGGGTGATGACACAAGCGCATCGCGCGTCGCACACCCCTCGCCGCTAGTTTACGACGGCTTCGACGTTTTACCAACCGCCCCTGCGGTTCGGGACACGTGTAAACGTGTGTCGAAGTTGTCGCGATTCCTCTATCTCTCCATCCCGTGAACCCTGGAATAATTTATGAGCTACCAGGCATCGCGGCAACGAAAGTCTATCGACTTGTCAGCCCTCAAATAAAGACTTTCGTTTCATATCACCATGGAGTTGTAAGTGAAATCCTTCTACTCTTCTGCTATGTTGAGTTAGGGAGTAAAATGTTTCAGGGATTCCCGAATACTCGTCGAAAAAACCCGTAGTTGTAAGAGGATATACACAAATAGCCCGTTTAATTCAACGAAAACTGATACAAGCGACAAGAAAATGCACTGACAAAAATGATGCTGGTTTAACATTCTGGATGTAAAAAAGTGTGCGACAACTCACAAAACGCTGAATTAACTACCACAGCAGCTAGTTTTACACATTGACATTGCTAAAGTAACTGATGTAGCGGCTAATTTATCGTTATATGTGTGTTGTCGCACACTTTTTTACGTCCAGAATGTTAAATCAGCATCCCTTTTTTCGATGAAAACAAACTTATGATGCTTGGGGCGTTTCGGGGTGCTGTCAATACCCTTGTCGACCCAGAAATAAATTAGTAAAAAGTAAAAGTGACAAATAATAGAGAAAACTGGACCCTCGATGTTTGATGACAAATGAGAGAGCAGGCTTACCAAAAGGGGACACGGTTTTTTTATTAATTGTTTATTTTATTTGTCCTTTTTTGTATTACGTGGTTGAAAAGGGGGTTGACACCACCCCCAAAACGTCCCATGCATTTTGACGTTTTTTTAACCTGTTTTACTGATTTTCTATGTTTCTTCTTGTCGAACCGATTAGTGTGTAGATGTTCTTTGGTTCAAGACCCTCATTGCCTCCTGGGATATTTTAATTTCATGTTGCAATTTTCCTGAATATTTTGTGCAGAGTCAAGGGGATTTTTATTTGAGTGAGAGAACGGCAAAATTGCATGAACTGAGGAACACTGGATGGACAGATGCCCTTATTCCGATTGGACTTTCAAATAAGCTCAGTCTAGCTCCGGAAATAGGTGAAACGATTCGAAACATAGGATTATATTTTGGCTCATCGAGTCAAAACGAAAATTTCCCCAAGTTTCCTCGCGGAAGTCAGCGCTGGCGCTATTCCTATCCCCTACGTCGGGCTGTGCTAACAAGAGGTGTTGGACAAATTGGATTCGGGAACGATTTCACACGAGCGAATAAGTTTCTCCGGCGAAAATAAGAGCAGTCTCAGGGAGAGTTGTGAATATTGTGGTCGAACAATTTTCATAGTCTTTTATTCTTCCGGTGGAATTTTCCGCGAGGGGAGAGCCGAAAGAGGGAAAACACAGGCGGATCGAGAGGAAGAGCAACCGGAAACCCTCCACTTCTGATTAGATTTGCTCTCTATGCAACTGATGCGCCCGCGGATAAAGTTGCCAAAGTACAAGAAAACCTCGAAAAACAGCGACTTTGACTCGACTCTTAGTAGATTTTAACACATAACCGAAAATTTAATTGATTTTTTTTCAATGTCTTCACAAACATCACCACTGGTGACTTAGTCTGAAACCTAAACATAAATCGAAAGTGTACGAAAAAGGGATGCGGAATAAAATGAAGCTATTCAATCGCATTTATTTAATTTTCAGGTTGAGGTTTGTTAGCTGGACTATAAATATGATTAATAATTTGGTATTTTATGGAGGTTTGTCTTATTTTGTTTATAGACATCTGTACATTAGGAAAAAATACAGCATCAGTGAGAGAATACAATACAGCGATGAGAGCAAGTAAGTGCTGAAATGAAGTTTTGAAAAAACAGGCTCAGAAGCGTCTCATTGGAAAATTTTATTGCTACCAATGGCTTCTGTAAGCCTTCCGTTCTTTGTCAAATTGCCACTGATCATCCGAAAGACTCTTGGAATCGTATGGCTAGTTAAAAATTGACCGATTTTTTTTCAATTACTTAAAAAGGGTATAATTCATTTCCTTCTTAGGCTAATGTTTACATGCTTTCGTGGTTGCGTTTTGGACACACAACAAACACATTTTCAGGTTAGACATTAGCAGAAGAGGGCAGCACTTTACTTGACAGCACTGTTTTCATTGGCTTTCTGGAGAAATAATGTCACTTACGGCTGTTTTGCCTGAAACTAAGTCATTTTAGCGCCCCCACGGCTTTCTCACGTGCCTCGCTCACATACAATTAAGGTGAATTTTACTGTTTTAGCTACCAGTAATTTCATCTAAAAGAGATTAGACGAATTTTGGGGGAAACTTGAATTCGAAAACTTTACACTGACTTACTGCTCTCTTCGTCATCACGGCAGAATTGGACCGCGTTTAGCAGAAAGGATCCAAGCCATATCAGTTATTGCCTAATTCACCGGGGCAATTTCATTCTTAGTTAACAAATTAATTTAATTTAATTTTGTATTTTTAATTCAACAAAATAAAGCTTATGCGAATACCGTTGAAAACATCAAGGAATTTGCTATGTTAACTATGTAGAGAATGTACTGAAATTCGCACAAAAATCCGCACAACCGTTTTCATGTAAAAAAAAGAACGACCCGATCAAATTTGGCAACAGTTAATGCGGCTTGGCTCCTTTCTGCTTAACGCGGTCCAATTTCAGGGGCTCACACCTGAAATTTTTTGTCCGTGAAACAATAAATTTCACTGACCTGGCAGTAATACTGGATGCTCTCCAGAAGCATGCCGTACATTTTGACGGGTGCACTTTCACTTTCCACTGGGAATACGAAAAACCGGGAGGATGCAGATGAATAAATATCGGAACTCTGGGAATCCGGCGACGTAACGTCTCATCGTGACAGGCGGAACAATGTGAATTTGGTGAGGATGGGTCCGAGTTAGATCGGGAAAAATATGCAAGACGAATTTCAAGCCGGGACCCTTGACCAAGGACGACGACGCTGGTCGACCCATCGGCTGCACGACTCGAATCCCGAATCGATGGTAAATTGAAACGGAATGTTTAGTACTGCCGGCTCCGGCCGTGCATTTTGCGCCGCGCATAATGATCAGGGCCCTGTTGCCGATTTGACAGTCTTAAGGGGAATCGTGTGTCCAAATCATCACAATCTCAAATTTACTGCTGCTGAAGTATTTTTTCAAGTTCTACACTGAAAAAAAAATTCTCGGCGTTTTTACCAAGGTCCGTCGGTACCTTTACCATCTCACTTTTTTTACCAATTATTTGTAATTTTACCAAGACAGACTGGTAAGCTTACCTGAAAACCGGCATTTTTACTGTTTTTTTCAAGTAAGAAAACCAATTTTATTGGTAATTAATTCCCGGTAACTTTGCCATTTTATCTCGGTAATTCTACCACAGTCGATAAAAAATATTGGCGTTTTTACCAAGGTCCAGTAAAATTACCGAGAAAGTTCATTAAGTTTACTGAGATTCTCGGTACATTTACCAATTCCATAAATGTTAATTTTATCAAGAAAAAACTGGGATCGAATAGAACCCTGAATTCTTGGTAATTTTACCCTTTTCTTAGTAAATACACCGAGATTTTTTTTTTCCAGTGTATTTAATAGATTTTCTGTAGCTTTTTCTTTTTGGATTCCTCAGATTTTTACCTGGCTTTAGACGAGACGAGTCTTAAAAATTTGAATTACCAAGATTTTCTCGACTTTTTTAAATAAGTTTATCGCGACGAGCCCTTCAGACTGATTTTCTCTCTTGAAGGGTAATTGGATTGCATTTTACAAAAAGGAACTAAGAGCATTCCAATGTTGCTAGGATTGTGCAACTTACATTCTACACAATGAATGCACTGAAATGGTGCAAAAATTTAAATTTACAAAGGTAATTTTCGTCTTGAATCTATAATTTATTGGGAGTAAAGATAAAACTTCTTTGGGTGATTAGTTTATATTTGCAAGGTAAAAAAAGTTGCGCAATTTCAGCGAATTTGCGAATGCTCTTGGTTCCATTTTGCAAAATGCAATCCAATTAGTGTGAGCCTCCTCCCCATTAGTTAGATAAAAAAAAACTAGAATAAATACAAGATCCCTGAGACCCGTAAGAATATATTCACATCAGGACTCACGTCATAATGCACACCAGTCCGTTTGGCAGAAATACATCCAAATATTCAATTCTTCTCGGAGTACCTGGCCCCTCTAAGAATCGATACAATTCCACAGGTTTAAATAGAGAAAAATAACGTTGCCAATTTACTGGATCTGCCAATGCCCCTCCCCCCCCCCTTTGAGTGTTGAGTAATTTAAGAACGCTCTCTAGACACCCAATCAGTCTATGGACTGCTAGCAAGCGTGTGAATTTGTCCAATACTCTTTAATGGATGATCTCGAAATTGGTTCCTTATTGGAAAGTATAATCCCATCATCAATGCTGCTGTGCTAAGACAAAACGCCGTATTAGCATTTGCATGTTGCCAAATTTTCTCTCAGAAAATACTTATTTTTGAAGAAAGTTATGAATGTGTTTCCTTGCAATTTTCAGACTTTTTAGATAAAATTACGAGCAAAATCCTCTGAAAAATCAGAGGAGATATATTCACAAATTTTTCTGGAAATTTGAGATTTGTCAAAGGAAATTTGGCAACCCCCCCTGGCTCATACGACGTTCTTCCCGAGCACGGCAGAATGAGGGCAACGCACTGTAAAACTTCGCCGGGATCAGTGGCATGGCGTGCTTTGCGATATATCGATTGATCTGTCATTTAAATCTATGGAAAAGAATCGATTATCAAGATGTTTGCTGCGAACACCTAGATAATCAATTCTTTACTACAGCTTCAAATGGAGAAATATCGATAATCGATATTTCACGCCACGCCACTGGCCGGGATCTCTTGTGTGAAAAACAGGAGCTTTTAGGTGGTAAGTGCGGAAGGTCCGGGAGCAAATCCGATGTTCGGCCGGACGTCGCGTCGGTGCGTGGCGCGGAGGGTGGGGGCGGGGGAGGGTGTCGGATGCGTGTCAACAAACTGATCGGCGGTCGGGGGCCGAGCACGGAGCCCGGTCGGATCGTGTCAGGGGCCCGCTTCGGGGGGCTTGGCGCGGGATTATCCCGCCGGAGTGCCCGGCCGCCGCCCCGGGTCCCTTCCAGCTTTGTTTGATCAGTATTCTAATGACTCCGACCGGCCGGCCACTCGCCCGACGAGCAGGGCCGTCAGATTGTCCCTGCCTCGGGAATTGACCAGTGGACGGACTATGGACGGACTGATTTCGGGACTACGTCGTTTTTAAGGTGATTCGACGGTTGCCATTTTTGTGTCAGAGACGTGCGATATATCGCATCAATTCGTTCCATAATTGCAGCTATACTTGTCATTTTTTTTTTTAGAATTTTGAGATAGCACTTCTGTTGTCATGAGACTAAAGAATTCATGTATCGAATTTGACAAAGAAACTCAACGTATGAAGGCAGGGTTTTTTCTGAGGAAAAATATCGCATTCGAGTGCAGTTTCGATATCGGTACCGAATGCGATATTTTTCCTCTACAAAAACCCTGCCTTTAGTCTCATGACAAGAGAAGTGCGATCTCAAAATTCGATAAAAATGACAAGCAGCTGAAATTATGGAACGAACTGATGCGATATATCGCGCGTCGCTCTGACACAAAATATGGCAATTGTCGAATCAGCTGAGGACATTCCACGGATTAATGCACTGATTTTCGATTGTAAGCAATAAATTTGACGGAATTTAAAAACGTGCTGTGAGGGTGGGGAGCTCAGTTCTCCACCATTTCGCGTAGAGTACCTACATATGCAGAAAAGGGCCGTTCAATTATTACGTAACGCACTCAGGGGGGAGGGGGGTTTGAGCCGGCGTTACGGCGCGGCGCGTTACAAGGGAGAGGGAGTCAAACCTATAGCGTTATGTGACAAATCCAAGCCAGGGGAAAAAAGTTTGAAAAAAACGTGTAGAAAATTGAAAATCCAGCTCTACCCGAATGAATCTTTTCGGCGTGTGACCCTGCCGACGCAACACGTGTCCCACTTATACCCACCCTCTCAACCCCAGCGAAACGTCTCCAAAAAATCCTGAATTTTTTCAAGCTGCTTGCTCTGTGTTTTCTAGATTTTTTTAAAATTGGACGAGGGGGGGTGATCAGGCCAGCGTTACGTGTGCGTTACAGGGGGAAGGGGGCGTCAAAAAATCAGAAAAACTGCGTTACGTATATAACGCCTGAGCCGCGCGAAGAGCTTCGAGGGGCTGGACCGCGAGGCGGTTTGGGCGTGTAGTCCCCTCCCCTAGGTCGAGAAAGTCAATTTCACACTTATGAGTTACATTTGGAATGGAATGAGTTCCAATTTGATCAACGTGTTTTTCTTTTAACTTCTGGATAGGAAACAAAACTTATGGAAGTCTCGTCAGAACTCTGTTGAATGGTTCATTGGCGACGTAGATCTGCCTCCACCATGCATAACTCGGTCTTGTGATCTATGACTTGTTACAATTTGATGTAACAGTGGAGTGAGAGAGAATAAAAATATACCAAGCTTGACCTAAAAACACGCTCGAAGATGGTATTTGAAAGTCCGCAAACTCTTTTATTAGCATCCTCGGCTCAGAGGAACTTTAACCGACGCGAGTTGTGATCGTTATCCTCCGGTTTTATAAATTCATGAATTCTCAAAGCAGACACAACAAAAAAAATTGTAAAAAAAGAACTATTTTAAGTTTTCAAAAGGAGCTCACGTAACATGGTAGATTAAAACGCACAGATTGCATAATTTCATATTTATTTTCCCTCCGACAGTTTCGCCTTCAAATAGCCCGCATTTTTGAAAGAAGTTCCTCGGCCGCCTGGAGGAGCCGAGTAATTTTTCATTTATTTTTTTCCTTTTGTCCTAAACGGCTTTTGCAGTCCTTTGTGATGTTAATTCCGATTTTTTTTACCCTCTTTTTTTTAATTTCAGCACTCGCGTTGGCCCCGCCCTCCGCATGTTTTCTTTCTCCTCTCTAATGACGCGCTCAAGAATCGTAAAAACTCAATTGGACGCATTTCTATCAAACGGAACTATGTCCATTCAGACATGAGCCCTGAGACCCATAAGAATACGTGCATAACAGGGCTCACGTCATAATGCACTTAATTCCGTTTGAAAGAAATGCGTCCAATTGCAACCAGTGCAAAGGATTTGAGCCGCAAAATCAAATTATGAGATACAGCTCCGCGAGGAAATAGGCTGAAATTTCAGCACGCTTTTATGAGGGCTCATATCGCCGCCTCTCCGCTTTGTCCGTCCCTCTATTTACATCTTTTAAGTGTTTTTGAGAACAGCCGGGGGTCTCTGGGGCCCTTTTTAGGACCTCGTTCCCGGCTTAAATCCTATCGTTACGATTAATTATTTTTAATTGAGCCGACTCGTGTTGCCTAAATACTGCTCGGCATTTTTTAGCCCATTATCCTTGGACGTTACCTTTTGTCGTTGAAGCACTTCCAGGTTTTATTGTGGTTTTACAGTGACTGCGATTTTTGTTTGAGCTCAAACATGCAGAGACTAACGTTCACTTCCTTTTTGCCTGTCAAATTTTTCCGGGTTGGTTCTCTATTTTCCGTGCTGAGGAAAAACGCCGTATGAGCATTAGAATGTTGCCAAGTTTCCTCTCGGAAAATATTTATTTTCGAGGAAAGTTATGAATACTTTCCCTTGAAATATTTAGATGTTTTAGATTAAAGTGCGAACAAATTCTCTGAAGAATCAAAGGAAAAATACTCGCAAATTTTCACAAAAATTCGTGTTTTGTCGAGGGTAATTTGGCAACGGCTGAAGGTTCATACATCGTCCTCCCTTAGGAAGGTAGTATTACGATGACAAAAGCACCGAGCCACGTTTCTCGGTTTGCGAAGTTGCAAATCTTCTATCAAATTTTACTTCCTCAAAGGGAGACCTGATCATCGTTTTCACACAAAATTTTACTTGAATCCTCTTCGATCTCTTAAACATTCTCTGAAAATCTCCCGTATAAAAGTCAAGGAGTATAGCC